AGGCCGACAAGCACGGTGAGATATAGCTGTTTTTTTAAGCAGCCCGTTATAGTGCGCATAGCTAGGTGGTAGCCTCAAATATCTATAGCCGTCTATTTATTACTCTGTCAACGAGCAATCATACCAAATAGGCGAATAGCTCATATACCACTAGCACAGCAATCAACTCTAGAGACGGGTGAAACATATGAACTGAGGCAGTTAAGCAGCCCGTCTTATGGCCTGTTTGGATCATTAGCAACTAAAATTAGTATTAATGGATCCAAATAGACCTGCTAATTATTAGTTCGAGGGCTGCTAACTATTTTTTGACAACGACAACTTAAATATATAACGTTAAAGCACACTACACCAGTGTGGGGAAAAATCCCATATTACAAAATATAGATAAGTAAAAGCTACTGCTGATCTGCTTATGTAGACATAGGTGATGCTTTCATCGGAGGCATGGGCTCCATCAGGGCCACAGGGCCCATGAGAAGTGCCCACGATAGAAGCATCGACGGTCCTCGTTCTCGCACTCTGATAGCACAGCCGGCGCTCCCCTCTGTCTGATCTGGCTTGTGTCCTAAAGGATAAATATTCTTGAACCGTAGATAAGGAGTAGCCTTCACCGTGCTCAAGAAAATGATTCCACAGTCATCGGTGTTAAATCTGAGAACCTGCATCAACGATCGTTGACTGTCAACCCGAAAACCAATAATTACTTTCCCACCTCCATGTCTACAGAAAGACTGAAAAGCACGACGATGAACATAAAATAAAATTGCTCGGTATGCACAGTATGGCAACCATAAAGAAGACAGAGGGACCGGACACCATGTGGAGGGCCCCATGATGTCACCAGGTAGGGACCGAGCAGGACACGGAGCGGCCCTGCATGCGAGCCGCGCTGCGAATGAAGCTTCTCGGATACAACGTGTGGAGGGCCCCATGATGTGTTCGTGGAGGAGCTCCAAGGCCTTGATTGCGTGTGCAACATGCAGAACGGACACGCAAGGCCATGGAGGGTCCCGCTGATGCAGGAGGCGGTTGTGCAGGAGCACCGCAACCTTCAAATGTTGACCAAGCATGGCCACGGCTGGTCCCGCACGTATTGAATGCTCTTCCGAAGAAGCTCCTGTGTGCACTTGCCGGCGATGCAAGCTCCGCCGCGTCGGAGCGACGACCACGACGACCACCAGGATAACCAGGCGGCCGCCAGGAACGCGAACCCCGCGAGCCTGACCGTGACGATGGATCGCGCGCACTGAGGCCACGGACAGTCGCGGCAAGACTCCAGGAAGCACAAGGACCACCAAGCAGGAGATCGCCCCTGCAGCCACCTCGGCGCCGGCCGCAGGTGGGCGTCGCGACGGAGAAGTGGTGGCCAACACCAGGCAGAACCGGATCAGCAGCGGCCTTCAAGAAGCACTGCGTGTGCCTGGGCATCTACGCCAGATGCCGTGGACACCTGCGCCAAGCTCGAGCAGACAGGACATGACCGACGAATCCGGGAGTTGGAGTTGGAGTCGCGCTGCACCGGCATTCCCAGCAGTTGGAGTTGGAGTTGCGCTGCGCCGCGCCAAACACAAGGACGACGCCATGCCGCCCCGGCATACACTGAGCACAGAAGGATGATGATATGCGAAGATAATGGGCTTTTATTCTGGCACTCGCCTCGTCAGACCAGAGGAAGCCACTGCCGGAGTACAGGGTTAACTACTAGAGGAAGCTAGGGGCCAGCCCACCTCCCTCGGCCGGCGTCGAGCTTGTCGCCGGAGGTAAGGGAGGGGGCCGGAAACTTGAGAGGATGGAGAGCTTCAGGAGAAGGGAAAACGGGCAGAACGCCTGCTACTCACAATGGAGACTCTCGGCGTACAAAGATCGCCATGGATTCGAGTTCCAACTAGCGCCGCTAACTATTAGTTCTATTAGTAGGTTTAGAGTTGCTAAAAGTTGTTATAGTTCATATGCACCTTCGAATCACTATCTAACCATCTATTAGCAGGTGGGTCCAAATAGCACCCCTAACAAGGGGTCTGTATTAATACAAAACGCCAGATACAATCCAAATGTCTGTCTCTATTAATCAGTAGCCACCGTGGAGCTTTAGACCACAGCTACCACTGGTCCTCCTCACCTTGCTTCTGCTCTTTATCATGCAGCACACCATCGGGTGGTGGGCTCACGACCAGCGGGTCCTTAGAGAGCAAGAGGATCTACTCTGGATCGAGCACCTCCAAAAAAAAACCCATAGCTAAATTTGTATGAGTGAGATAGGGACAGGGAGGAGAGAGATATCGATAGGAAGCACATTCGCTTTGACTCAAACCATCTCTAGAACCTTGTGCTCACCAGCAACATCAGCGATGAACGCATGGAAGTTGTTAATAAGCACCTAGTCGACCGGGTCACACCCATCGACGTACGCATAGGTGGTATTGAGGAAGGCGGAGAAAGATCTGATTATCCATTCAACGAACTCTAATAATTATTTATAATAATAGTCATTGCATCTATTCTATGATATATTATGAAAAACAACATAACGTAATAACCCTACCATTATGAAATACAAACTAAAGTAGCTCCTAAAATTTGCATAAATCACTGGCATTGTCATTGTGATAAATAATTTAAGTAACCCTATAAATGTGCATAAAACCTTAGTGCTTCTGCCATTACAAAAAATAAACCAAAATATCCATTCAAATCTACATATAAATTACCAAAATGTACTATTATGAAAAAGTTAAAATTGCCATATATTAGGCCTTTTGTGTTCCTGGATTATCTTGTATACGTTTTGGCTATGCCAATGTGTCATGGGATAGATCATTTTGCACCTTCCCTTGGCTTGTTGGTAGTCCACACTCCATGAAACCTGGGTCATTATATAGGGAGCCTAACAAAACTAAAATGAAAGTGATACCTTACTTAGACCTGGTTATGTCAACTCTAGAAATAAAATAAAATCATGTTGCTTGAGACATGGATAACTTATAGAAGGAATAAGTACAAAATTGTTAGAGATCATGATGGTGATGTAATAACACAAGTAAAAGTTGTTCTACACTAGAGGTAGTAAACAAAAATTAGAACTCTATCTATTAAAAAATGAGAATAAGTGATAACAATTGTACTAAATAGATGAAAATATTATTGTGATGGGCCCAAAGATCGAGTGATGTCTACCACGGAGCATTTATAGCAACGGTAAAGACCATCTCAATGTTGAAGTAAAGCACAGTACAAAATGATTATAAATAAAGATGATAATTTAATAAATGGTACATGCACTGTTTCCTTCTTGATACTAGTTGTGCAATTGCATGGATTCAAAATTGTTAAGCAATGTTATTAAGGTGCACTTGTTCCTCATATGACATTTTCATGGTTTTCTTTGGATCAATACTAACTCATTTGTCCTTTTCATATTTTGATGATTAAATTATTTATGCTCGATGCACAAATTCAGGCTTGTAACTTTCATACTCAAATTTACCATTCATATCCTTCAGTATATTTGTGTGGAGTAAATCTTCCATGAATATTCATCCTCATGTAGCTTTAATGCAGAAACTTCAGGTGAGGAGCAAGTCTCTAGTTACTTTCACCCTGCTGAATGAGGTGCTCGTGATGCTTACAGATACCCATACTACACTTCCCCCTATTAAGATGCAATATGGGTAAATGACCTCGGTGGTCGTTTGGTTATTTTGAGAAATGTTCTGTTGGGTTGTGTTCGTAGTTTGCTTAGCTGTTGGACCATATTAAATAATTTGTGGAGCTCCTGAATCTTGTTGTAAATAATATTTGAGCTCATACTTAAATTCAGGGTTAATATGTATCACTTATGAGAAATAGTATGATGTGATGGTGCTGCCATACAATATGTGTTTTTGCCAATGCTTTTCATGAGAATTATCACAATACATATTGAGGAATCCAAAATATGATATCCATTTTGAATGAATTAACCTAGCAATCATCTCTTTATGGTTTTATTTAGCCTAAGTTAGCATTGTTGTACTGTCTAGTAGTTTTAGGTTGATAATTAAAAGTCTAGTAATTAATATCATGCTTACATAACAATAGTAAACATGCACTCACACTCATAGTGGTGGAACCAATATTTTAATGTTGGGTATTCCCAAACCAAAACCGTTTACCATTTGTTGCACACCACCATGCCATCATACATGCACCCACTCTCAGTGTGCCTAGCAGTCAACCTTGGGCTTATGTGGGGATTGGGATTTAAAGAGACATGGGGTTAGGGGTAGGCAAGGGGTGATAGATGGATGCAAGTGATGCTGATGTGCCCATCTGCGTCTGAGGACCAAAGGTTGCCTAGGCGAGGAGAAGGAAGAAAAACAGAGGTGCGGCGGGGGATGATGGCGGCAGCGCGCCGGAGTGGCCTGGTAGGGTTGGCGTCGAGCACTGCGCCTCGAAGTTGGTCGCGCATTGCGCCTGGCTTGGCCAGTGGCCGAGCGTTGGAGGCGGGAGGCGAGCAGATAGGATAAGTGAGCGGATAGGAACGAGTACGTAGATGAGTGGATTTTTTATTTGGAAATGGAGGAGCAGAGGGTGTTAGGCTAGTGTCGCGTGGCCCACCAACAGAGCGTCCGGGTGGACGGATGCCCGTTTCCTAGCATTGGCGTACATAATATGTTCACAAAGCAAATAGTTAATGCCCAAGGATAATGTACACATGCATATTCTCTGTCGTGGAGAGGAGCGCGCATATCCCTATGTATTATTAGTTGTCTGATGTGTGCACGTCTCTACCGTACCGTTGTCACGTTGTGCACACAGAATACATGCATCAGTGCGGTGACAAAGTTTTATTACTACTAATTTCTTTACAACGACAGAGCTAATGCATCTTGTAGTAATCAGAATATTGTACTCAGATACTACGTACATTGCCAACAACGGAAATTATACACTGTACTATTTTGTGAAGATATATACATTAATTCAAGCGGAAAAGCTTGCAACAGATATTGAAACAATCACCGATATTTCACTGCAACATGGAATTCGTTGTTCTTGGACCTAGTAGAGAGCCTACCACCACCACTGCCGTCAGCCCTTAGCAGCTCGACCGCGTGGATTAGTGCAGGGTTGTCCTTGTTACCATCAAGCGTAACCTTCTTCAAGTTCGTCAGCTGCTCCATGCCAACGATGCTCCACTCCGTCGCATGCGTTGACCTGTAGTCAAACCTCAGTTCCAGCGTCTCCAGCGTCGACATCGATCCTCCCTCAAACCGAATATGTTGGGTAGACAACCTCCAAGTATCACGCCCCTGAGCATCGGAAATCTGTGGCTGCTGCGTGCAACCAGCTCGTCGTCACGCTCACCGTCGCCATGGCGTGTCCACGTCACGTACAAGCTCTTCAGGTTGGGCAGCTTACACAGGATGCCGAAGAGCTGGTCACCAGCAAGGGTTGTATCCAAGATGGTGAAAGTGACAAGATGAGTTAGTGAGCCGATCCAGCCCGGCAGCCCATCGACGTCACCTGTGATCCAGAGGGTCTGAAGGAGCCGTGGTGGCGCGGGCAGGTGGTGGAGAAAGTTCACCACCTGCTTTTGCTTGCTGTTGTTGTCGTCGCTTCTCCGGTGCCCTATCCAGAGCCACCGGAGGGAGCACATCTTGCTTAGGGACAGAGCAAGGTTTCTTAGAACATCCTCATCTACAATGGCCTTGCGGTCATCAAGAGACACGACAAACACTTGCAGCTGCTCCAGTTCACCCACCTCTTGGGCAGCATCGGAGTCATCGTTCCCAAGAGTTACTCTACGCAACACGCGTAGGGCCTTCATCTTGCTGATTCCCCGGGGTATAGTCCACATTGTACCCCAAAAATCATCCCTATTGGAGAATCGTATGTGCTCAAGTTTCTCCAGCTTTGTGATGGTCTCCGGTAGCTCAGTGAGGAGCGTGTAGTCCAAATCGAGCGTCTCACTACGGGAAACAGTGACAATGCCGAGTGCTTTCTGTTTGCCGAGTGCATTATATCGGGCACTCGGCAAACAGCACATTTGCCGAGTGTTTACTCCAAGACACTCGGCATACTATTACACTCGGCATATCTAATATTTACCGAGTGTCAACACTCGGCCTCTAGGGGACACTCGGCAATAACCAACACGTGACCCGTGCGTGCGCCGTTCTACCCGACGGCGTGCCGGCCGTTAGGACTTCGCCGAGTGTCCGTTAGAGACACTCGGCGAAGAATTGATTTGCCGAGTGTTTTATTCCGGCACTCGGCGAAGTGTATGGTTTGCCGAGTGTTTATGGAGACACTCGGCGACTGCAAAACTATTTTTCCCTCCTCGGCCCTCCACAATTTTTCTACTCCCCACATACGACATTTGGTACTGCATGTTAAAAGTTGGTCTATTTCTTGGTCTGTTTGCTATATTTAGTGAATTAATTTCATTTTGAGTAATTTATTGATTTAAGTGAAATTTGAATTGCAAGTGATTGAAATAATAGAATAAAATGAGTGGAAAAATCATATTCATGTCATTGAATCTGGATTGATGTCTCATACAGGAAATGAAAAGAAATTTCGAACATTTTGTTCAGGAAACACGACCACGAACGTGTGTCCGAATGATTTTAAAATTCTACCAAAACCAAACGAAGTCTGAAAATCACGAGATTTGTCAAGATGCCATGATATCATATGTGGAGGCTGTGGTAAAAAATTGAGAATGTTTCGCACAATTTGTGACGTATGATGCTTACAAACGGAAGCATCTCCGGAGAAAATTCGTAGAACTTAGAAGGATCCGATAAGATATAGAGTCCAAGTGACATGTGAATTGGGTTTGAGTTCAAAAACTTTTGTATAGGCAATACACAACATAGATTAGTTCATGTCAAATTTTGACAATTTTTTGGATCCCTTTGATATTTTTTATTTATTAATTGCAATTATAGAATTTTAGTTGATATAAATTAATTTTGAGCTATAACTGCATGAAATAATGAAATAATATTAGTAGAAAAAACAAATATGCATTTTGAGTGAATTTGACAAGTTTTTTTTTCAAAATATATAGGAAAAAAGTTACTAAAAGAAGCTATTAAAGGTATACATAAAATATTAGCGTAATTTGCCGAGTGTTTCTATATAACACTCGGTAAAGTATCTCTTTGCCGAGTGTCTTATAGAAAACACTCGGCAAAGTCTTGGTGCAGGCCCACTGCCGCGCGAGTAGACCTTTTGAAAAAAAAAAAAAAAATAAAAGGGGCTATGCCGAGTGCGGATCGCGGGCACTCGGCATACCCCTAACAGATTAACCCGGCATGACTTCAAGACGCCACACACACACACGCACACAACGCACACACGCCATAGACACACGCCGTGACCACCCGACCCCGTCCTGCCGGTGCCCCCACCGGCGTGCCCGCCGCCTCCCCCCGCCGGCGTCCCCGACCCCGCTCCATCCCCCGGCGGCGCCCTCCCGGTCCTCGGCGTCGCCCTCCCGGCCCTGGCGCGCCACGCCCGCGGCGGCTCCACCCGGCGGCGCCACCCCCCCACACCGCGCTCGCGCCCTCGGCGTCGCCCTCCGGGCCCCGGCGCGCCACACGCCTGGCGGCTCCACCGGCGGCGCCACCACCCCCACACACGGCGGCGCCATGCAAGGCGAGGCCACCGAGCGGGAGGGAATCAAACGGAATCGAGTCGAATTCGTCCTCACCTTCTCGTCATTGCTGGTAAGGAAGCCCTAACGTTGCTTGCTCGGATTGAAATTATATTCCCTGTTCTACTAAGGCTTCTGCGGTTCCGCCCTTGAATTTTCGGTAGATTCGAGCAATCCAACCAGAAATTCCTGTAATTCCTTGTCAGGGATGGGTTATCTGACCCATCGAGCCCCACTAGCTGCTGGATTGGTTCTTGATTTTCAATACATGAATTTCTGCCGATCGATAGGCCGATAGCTACACTGCATTCTTGTTTGGTGGTTAGACTTGTGAGAGCAGCCGTTTCTGGCTTTCTGTTTGCTGAACCCTTTCCAGGGTTGAATATTTGATGTGAAAGTGATTAAAGAACTAGGACACTGTTTGGCCAGTTAAAGGGCTTACTTTTAGAGATGCTTCATTTTTTTTTCTCTTGTTTCTAAGAACACACACTTGTTTTCTGTACCTGATACATAGACTGATAGACACGTGAATGCAGACAAAACTGTGAAGATTTCTCCTCTTATGGAAAACTGTGAAGATTTCTTCTCTTATGGTTTGGGGCTTTTTAAGTGAGAAAGAACTAGCAAAAAAAAAAAGGAAAAGAAAGAAAGAAAGAAGACAATTCACATCTACTGTGCCGATCCATTTTAAACCACATCTACTGTGGTCATCAATTTTGAATGATGACTATGTGGCCATCAATTTTGAATGATGACTGGAGATAATGTACAGTACTGAGAAGTTTCACTAGTTGGGTTACAAAGTGGAAAGCTTAAAATTCAAAGTCAAAAGTCTGATTTGTCTAACTTAATGTTTGAAATTCTGAGAAACTTATAAAAAAATTAAATAAAGTTGAATGTATCCCTTTCTGACTCCAAAAGTTGGGTTAAAAAGTGGAAAGTTTTACTCAAAAGTTGATTTGTCTGTTTAAAGTTCTGAGAAACTTATAAAATATTGACATTAGGTTGAATGTGTACCTTTTCTGAGTCCAGAAGGGTTTTACTAGTTTGTAAAACAGCGAGAGTTCAGTATTAGCAAATTTCTTGAGTTCTACACAGATTAGGTTTTTGTTACAGAAAGTAGAAACAACTTGCTTATATATATAATAATTATATAAGATTTATTCAATCAGAGGCCAAGTTCCCAGCCTCAGTTTTAACAAATCATCAAACTAATGCATCCTCTCTACACCTGCTTCCCTTCCACATACACTTCCACACACTTCCCTTAAACCTTTCCTGCAATTTGGTTTGTGCAATATTATGTGGGGAAAACCTGAAATATCGTTATACTGCAGTCTTGTATGTCCAGGATCGTTGTTTAGGCCCTTTTGCTGTTTCGTAGGTTGGAGCACTAAAATGTTGTAGGTTAAACCTGAAACATCTTTCGAAAGTAGCCTAGTATGGCCACTATCAGTGTCGTTTTTAGAAATTAGAAAAAGGTAGGATGAATTAGAAATTAGAAAAGAAATTAGAAAGTGATAGAAATGGACTTTTTTTAGAGAAGATTGAGAGTTAGTAGGATGTCTATAGAGGTGATATGACTTTTTTTTAGAAATTAGAAAAGGATAAACCATGAATTATTTGCTTTCTTGTGAGCTATATGTGGTTGTCGGCCATCGTGCCGTTCTGTTGGTGTGGATGTGGTTGTCGGCCATCGTGCCGTTATATTTGATGCAGGTTTTGGAAACCTCCCCGTGCAGGGGAGGTGCTGCCAAAATTTCGACTTGACACTACTATGTTCATTTTGTTGCAGGAGAGACTCACAAGGACTGTCCTTGACTCGTCACTTTGCCGGATAGCAAGGTGAGGCATCATACACCTCTCTTTTCGTTTGATGTTCATATATCACGTAACCTAGTTAGGCGTCTCCCGTTCGAAAGAGATACGGTTGGAAATATGCAAATTTTTGTATATCTATAACTGTATCTGTTTCGAATTGTCCACGTTTTTTGGACAGCCCGAGGATGTGTAGCGGGTTTAGTTTCCATGGTCTACTCTGATCCGAGATAGAGTTTCGGCAGCACCTCCCTGTTGTTCTCCGAATACACAATCTCCCTTCCGGGACGTGTATTTGGAGAACAGCGGGGAGGTGCTGCCGAAATTCTATCTTGGATCGGAGTAGAGCATGGAAACTAAACCCACTACAAATCCTCGGGTGGGATTAGGACCTATCTTTATCTAATAGACATTATAGGAACGTGTAGATGCAACGTGATTTTATATATTACTCGCTGATATGCTAGAGGATGGATGACCGTGAGTGGATGTACACGGGCCGCTCTAGTCAGAATTCGTTGACCAATGAATGGATTGACAAGACGGATGCTTTCTTGGAACGGGCGTTTGCAATTGTCAAAGGAGCTAGATCGACTTGGTGTCCATGTAGCAAATGTGGAAACATGCGTCGGCAAACCAAGCTAGACATGGGCAAACATCTTGTGAAGAACGGATTTACGTCAGACTACACCAGGTGGACCTACCATGGTGAAGCCGATCGTGGGAGAGACGAGGTCTTGAGACAACGCATCGAGGAATATGATGATGATGCCGGAGTGGGAGACATGTTAAATGACTACCATGAAGCACACTTCGATGAAGCAAGTAGGGAGGAGGAGCCAGAGGCTACCGCAAAGGCGTATTACGACATGTTGTCTGCGGCACAGCAACCCCTTCACGGGCATACCAAGGTTTCTCAACTGGATGCCATTGCACGCCTAATGGCCGTGAAGTCTCAGTTTACCTTGAGTCGAGACGCCTTTGATATTATGCTGGCAGTTTTTGGTAGCCTGCTCCCAGATGGTCACATCTTGCCAAAGAGCATGTATGAGGCACAGAAACTCATTCGTGCACTTAAGATGCCATACGAGCAGATACATGCTTGTCCGAAGGGATGCATCTTATTTAGGAAAGAGTATGCGGAAGAAAAGTACTGTGTGAAGTGCGAATCGTCTAGGTTCCTAGAGGTAGACTCTGGTGATGGTCAGAAGAGGCAGCTCGCAAATCCCCGTGAAGATCCTACGGTACCTTCCTTTCATACCGAGGATCCAACGGCTTTACATGACTGAGGAATCTGCGAAACAGATGACATGGCACAAAAACGGACGTCGATACAATCCTGAGAAGATGGTACACCCATCCGATGGTGAAGCCTG